TAAGCCTGTGATTGTCCCGCATCTACTTTCTCCTTAGATGGGACTTTCAGGCATTGCTGCAATGTTAGCTATTTCTTATTTTATTAAGATATGATAATGATATATGTGTATATATATATATATATATATATGTGTGTGTATATATATGTGTGTGTGTATATATATGTATATACATATATATACATATATACATATATACATATACACACATATAAACAGCAGTGTGATATTTCATCCCATGCATACAACATGCATTAATCAAGTCTAATCTTCCCATTTCTGCCCTTCCCCAAGCCTTCCCAATCCCCAGTAAAAATGTTCTACTCTTAGTCAACTTTTTTAGCTTCCACCTGAGGATATGCATCACGTTTCTCTCTATGTCTGGCTTATTTCACTTAATATCTTCCACTTCCATCCATTACTCAGTGACCTTAGTCGCATTTTTTTCTTGAAGTCTATTTGTCAGATAAAAGTATAGCTACTTCTGCTTATATTGTTTTGATTTGAATAGAGTATCATTTTCCATCCTTTCACTTTACACTGGTGAAATGGGTTTCTTGTAGGCAGCATATTGTTTTGTTTTGTTTTGTTTTTGTCAGACTAAGATATTTCATAAGACCTTTTCAAGTTCAAATATTCTTTGTTCCACTTTAATCTGTTGAGTCCTTCAACTGTATTTTTTGAGTTTGATTCTTCTTAGAATCTCTTTTTACATAATTTTTCATTAATAACCTGTATTATCTTCCTATCTGTATTCTCCTGTATTTCATTGTGCTGTTTTATAATCATTTATTTTATTTTTTTGGCTAGTACCAATGTGTTGGACTCAGAACTTTCATATTTGCTCAGCCACCACTTGAACCATGTCTTCATAGTGGCATTTTGCTGGTTAATTGAAGTTAGTCTTGAGGACTTTTCTTTCCATGTTGGCTCCAAACCAGTCCTCTGGATCTCAGCCTTCTGAAAAACTAGAACTACAGATGTGCCACTCCTGTGCCAGCTTCTTTAAAATTCTTTATCAAATTTTTCATCCATTTAAAATTGTTTGAAATATGAGAGTTCTTTTGAAGGCATCCTACTGCTTTGGCTTCTTTCATATTTCTTGTGTTCCTACACTGCGATTTGAGCTCTAATGAACAGACAGTTTTATCAGGAGACTTCTTAGTAAGCAGCTTTCTCCTGAAGATATGTCTTGAGGGTACTAGTATGTTACATAATGTTGGTTTTGATTCTAGCTACACATCATAGTGTAACCTCCCTATGGATTATTTGGCTGTGATTAATATCTTTGGGCATGTCATAATGCATATTGTGTCACTATCTGTTTAGAACACACAACAGCAGTAGGTATGCTATGCTCACTGTGTGGTAGCTCCAGTTCTCCTGTGATCATTCCTTATTTCCATTTGCCTGAAGTAATCACAGGTGAAGCTTGACCTGCTTTGACAGGCCTTTGGAGGCTTGGGACCACATGCCTAGATGTGGAATTATGGGGAAGAGGGCAGTGTGGGTGCTCCCAAGCTTGCTTTTTGAGATAGTGTCTTGCTAACTTTTTGCTCTGGCTTGCCTTGAACTCCTCTCTCTCTCTCCATCTCCCTCTCTTTCTCTCCCCCCCCTCCCCAGCCCCTCAATCTTTCTGGTACTAGAGTTTGAACTCAGGACTTTATACTTGCTAGGCATGTGTTCTACCACTTGAGCCATGCCTCCTGTTCTTTCTCAAGTTACTGAGGTAGGGTTTTGCCTTTTTGCCTGGTCTGATCTGGACTTTAGTTTTACTTCCTGCCAGGTATGTGCCACCATACTCAGATTTTTATTTTTTTCTGTTTAGCTAGGGAGCTTGTTAACCTCTTTTGCTTGGGCTGGCCTGGAACCAGAATCCTCCCAGTCTTAGCTAAAATTAATAGCTATGAGCCTTCACAACAGAATCCTCTTTGATTTTTGTTGAGTTGAGAGCTCTCTGTGTCTATTAGGCAGGAAGTAAGCATTCTTATCATTTGAGCCATACTCTACCTCCAGCTGTTTTTTACTCTGGTTATTTTTGAGCCTAATGTCGGTTTTTCTTCTTTTTTCATTTTTACATTTAGAAATTTATTTTGTTAATTCACAATCTGTATATAGCTTTACTTAAAAAAAAAAAAAAGAGCCGGGCTCCGGTGGCTCATGCCTGTAATCCTAGCTACTCAGGAGGCTGAGATCTGAGGATTGTGGTTCAAAGTCAGCCCAGGCAGGAAAGTCTGTG